ATGCAGTATAAATAATACATAACCCAAACGTAAAGCTAACCTAAGAAATTATGTAATCATTACTATAAACCATTATTGGTTTATTATAAAATAATGCGTTAACAAAAGTTTAAAAATCATATTTAAAAATATAATTATAAATTTTGGTAAAAATGGTGTTGAAATTTTTTCTGTCAAACGCCTTTTTTAAATATTAAAAATTAAAAACAAAATTCCCAAACTACTTTTTACCTTGCAGTTTATAAACTATTTTATCTTAAATTGTTTACAAAAAAATAAAAAAAAAATTCATTTACTTATAATTTCAAAACCTTTTAATAATTATTCCGTCCAAATATTTTTAATGTATTTATACGTGTTTTGTGTGTTACATTTGAGTTAATTTTATTTAAGATTATATATTACTTTCTATTAGCAGTAATTTGTAAATGTACTACAATTAATTTGCATAACATCCAAAGAATTTTAATCTGATTTAAAACTAGTCAACAATTTTTATTGTTTTATGTTATAAAATTTAGTACATAAATTAAATATACGTAAATATGTAGAATATTTATAAACAATGATTCTAAAATTATTGGTTTTATTATTTAAATATTTTTTTTTTAAACATATATATTGTATATGGGTTTCCATACTTTAGTGCAATTCTGTGGACTGTGTGTGGAATGCGCATCTTAAACATTTTATTTTCACTAAATTTGTACATAAAATGTTAAAATATGTTATTAATGAGTTTAAAGTGTGATATGTGCATTTAGGACATTGGCATCATTTATTCTTAGTCTATTCACACAGCACAAGTAATTGTTATTTTGTAGTGAAGTTCAACGTTCGACTCGCTTCGTTATAAAGTTACAATCCGATCTCATACAAAAATTTAAAAAGCTCGATTATGATTGATTTTTAATTCAATAAATCACAGTAAAGCAAAAATTGCTGCAACATTCGCAAATTACATTTAATGCGAAACATTTACATCCAAATAAAATCCAAATAAAATTACAATGAATTGTTCGCGCAAATAGGCTATTAGTTTGTTATGTGGAAATACACTTTTGGAAACAGGTTATAACATGAATTTTGTAGATTTTTTTTGAGATATTTTCATTTCATCCAGATTTAACAAAATTGTACGAAAACACAAATATCCCTTATGAAGTAAGAAATATGCTATGTCCACTTAACTGAAAAACTGTAGTTAAACCTATTTTAATGTAAAACATTGTTTATAGTCAGCAGATTTGATTTATGGATTTTTATTTAAGTAACAAACAGTAAAACAAAAACAATTATAGTGTAAACGACTACTGAAATTATAGTATCACAACATATAGTATTTCTTTAAGTAATTATATAATGGTCTTATTTGAATGTAATAAAATTGTTATATTTGCAAGATTCAATGCAAATATAATGATGCAAACAATTTGTTACATAATAGGGAATACTTAGTTAAATGGAATTCAATCAGTTATTTCAGTATATGGAATACGATCACTAATTGAAGTTTTATTTTTTGTTTCATTACTATATAGTAATAATATTTATTGCAACAACCGTTCAGTGCATTGCTGTACATAACTTGTCATGTTTTTGTTATATTCTCAAATGGGATGAAAAAACCGGCTTTATGAAAGTATGATTTTATTAAGGTGGTTTGATTTTTACGTTTTATTCAAAAATGAGTACTATTTTTCGCTGTTTTACTTATGAACAGTCAACATATATGTAACTAAATATTCATAATAAATGAATGCTGTTGTAGACAAACTTGATTTTCTGCAGCAGTTTTAGTTTATTTACTGCAACAAATGAAAGCGAATTTTGAACTTTAAAAAACTAAGACCGTACACTTAAGAGCAGGGTATTCTTGTCCTGGAATATAATAGTATGACTGGCTTTTGATAGTATTGTCTTATTTAACAGTTCAGATCATTGCAATACGCGGCTTAGTATTTAAAGAAACATTTACAGCTTCTTATGATTTGAGAGCGAGATTGTGGTTAAAATGATTACGAATAATAAATGTAAATTTCATATTTAGTTATTGAAAATGTAATAAAATAAAAAAATAAAATAAAACAAACATTGCACATAGATAATTTCTTGCAATAAATACGGGACACACAAAATCGTACTGACAAAAACAAATTCTATTTATACAAAATTTTGCGCTTATTTGTGTGATGCATGTTCATTTGTATTTCGCATTCTTCCTTTTACTATCGCTCACGAAGTTTTCGAATAATTTGACTACAAATAATAATCGCATATCTAGATATTCGAAGGCTTTCATTTAGTATCTGCAATTCTAGCATTAAGCTGTGTCCAAACAGATACAAAGAACTCGTTTTTTGTGTTTGTTTTTTGTGTGCATATGAGTTTATACATACATTTTTGTAACAAAACCACCAAAACCACAACAATGGCTTTGTATTGAAACATGTTAAGAAACTAGTTTTTTTTGATGTGTGGTTCTCGACATTGTCACTATAAAATAAACACTAGTAACTAGTAAATAACAGCTGTTATAAATTAATAATATACATACACAGTGACGCGTTGTTTTTGTGTTACACATGTAATATAAAGGCATTTCATCTGACATCACGTTTTAAATATTAGGGGTACTCATCTAAGCATATAAATTTATCAAATGAATAATTTTATGCGTTTATGTACATGGTTATATGAAATAATTGCGTAAATTTATCAATCTGTATATTATAATATAATAGCACTATTTATATCAGCAATAATAATGACAGCACAAAATGCAATGCTTAGCAGCTCAATTTTTAAGCCAATATCGTTGCAATTTAAAATATTTGTGCAAACTTTATTGATCAGATGTGTCGCTATCAATAAATTATAAAATAAAATACCGAAATTGAACGAAAAGTTTAAACTAAAAAGTATTTACAAAGATATTTTTGTAAATGACTTGTTTGTGTTAGAATGCAACTCTGTATTGACAACAGATAAATTTATTCGGTAAAATTTTCGTGAAAATTTATCAAGTTTATGTAAACGATTTTTCATACAAAATTTGATACTTCATTTACCAAGTAGATAAATTTATACATTTATAAGGTTTATAAGGTATTTATCAGTTTAGATGAGTACTCTTATTAATATTAAATACTGTCATACCATATTGATATAGACATGAAATATTCTTAGAAATATTCGTATTGTCGATTTTAATGTAAATTATAGCCGTATAACACCATTATCATTATTAGGTGTAGCACGTCTTTATTATAGCCATTTATTATTAGTGCGAGCTCTATAAAAAAATAATTCATATGTATCTTGCAATATTTATTTGCAAAAATTTCATACACGAGTTGATCCTTTGCTGAAATTTGAATTTTTTATATTTAATACACAGACTACAAACGACTACACTTAGCATAAATTTTGAAACGAAATTATTGCCTATTGTTGCTTTGAATGAATTCCATTTTGTGGCTTTATAACATAGTAACTAAAATGATTCTCGAGCCATCTGTGGCAGACAGTACGTGTAGCAATGGCATGAATGGTTAGTAGATCTATATTTAAAAAAAGCAAGATATATATCATATAAATGAGTAAATAAATTATTGATATTAATTATGACAAAAATTGATGAATATCCTTGTAAGGTGTAAAATCTAAACTTTTCATATATAAAAAATATAAATTTGAGAATAGTTTTAAAATATTCATTACAATTTTATGTCTTATTTGCTTAAAGAAACGCGAGTTAGTATCATAAGTATTTTTACTTAGTGCCCGTGACCACTTGCATGATTAACTGAACAAGAGTTCCGTTGAATTCTGATAATGAGTTATTCAGGTGAATTTGCAATTTTAAAATACATTCCAAATATTTTATTAATTAAAATAAATTTCTTTTTTTTAAAGTTTAGTATTAATTTATTTCAATATAAATATACGTTATATTAACTTTTTTTATTGCATGGTGAATTCTAAGTTTAATTAATATAGCAGTAGTCATGTGACAATTGAAACGTCATCTTAATTTTACATAAAACTTTGGTAATAACTTTGGAAATAAATGTATCATTTGCTATGAATATATACAGATATAAGCTGCCTTGAAAAAACATGTATTAACGCCTTTTTTAAAGTAATATAAAATTTTTTTCGTATAAAAGAGTCGACTTTTTTCTTATTGATATTTTCAGATAAGATGCAATTATTTACAAGCTAAGTGAAACAATAAAAATAAAATGTGTTCAATATGAACAATAGACAGCAATAATATATACGTATAAGTCGCAAGCAATATTAATAATTTAAAACAATATTGAACTTAAAATATATGTAAGAAACATTCTCAATTTTTTATATGTATGTACATAAAAAGAATTCGTATTTATCATAAAATATTCTTTTAATTACTCTAGTAAATTTGTCTTAAATAAATTGTATCCATGCAGGTAATGACACATTTAATATTGCTTTTTAAAAAATAATCAAAATCTTGGCATTTTTCCAATTTCCCCAATGCTCTCATTTGCTATCAGATTCTAATATTTGGCGTTTTCGGTAGTTCGCAAGAATGGCAAAAAACCGTAACTTGCTGGCCTATACTGGCCGAAATGTACGCAATACAACAACACTATTTTCTCTATTTAGACCAGTAGTTGTATAGTGGCTAAACACTTCGACAAGTAAAGAAAAAAATGCTACCAACGCAATAAGAGAACTATTGTGAACCTTAATTGGAAGCT